GGGACCGGGGCATCCCTCCGAGGAGCACGGCTGGTGGACCGGGGCATCCCTCCAGGCAGCACGGCCGGGGACTGGGGCATCTCTCCGGGGAGCACGGCTGGGGGATAGGGGCATCCCTCCAGGGAGCACGGCCGGGGGATCAGGGCATCTCTCTGGGGAGCACGGCTGGGGGATCAGGGTATCTCTCCGGGGAGCACGGCTGGGGGATCAGGGTATATCTCCGGGGAGCACGGCTGGGGGGTCAGGGCATCTCTACGGGGAGCATGGGCGGGGGATAGGGGCATCTCTCCCGGCTACATGGCTGAGGACTGGAGCATCCATCCAGGGCAACCAGCAAGGGTGCTGGGGCATCCCTCTGGGGAGTGTGGGCAGGGAATTAGGGCATCCCTCTGGGGAGCACAGCAGGCCTCTCATGCCCTCCCTTTGCCCTGCCTGCAGTTGACCCCAACAAGGAGCGTCGGGAGGCTGTGAAGCGGAAGATCACGCAGTACCTGAGGCGTGCGGAGGAGATCTTCAACTGCCACCTCCAGCGGGCTGCAGGGGGTGGCAACCCCTCCACCACGGTGAGGGGCTGGCATGGGCTGGCACGGGTGGGATGGCAGTGGATCTGTGGCACTGGGGAACCTGGGGAGGGACACGTAAAGCAGCCCCACTGAGCCTCCTCGACCACCCCTGCCAGATGTCATGGTAAGGTGGCATAGAGCAAATGGCAGACAGGTCAGCTGCAGAGTGTCCTGGTGTAGCGATGGCTGCGAGGGAGCTGGCAGCCCTTTACCCTGCCTGGAGCAAAGAGCTGAGAGGGGCCCAGCTTGCCTGGGGTGCTCCCAGGACCCCCTCCCCAAGGTGTGTATGTTTTAGCTTGTGGTTGTCATAGTGAAAATGGCCATTTTCAGTGGGACTGGAGCCACCTTGTCTAATGTTAAAAATGCCATCTTCATTGTCATTGTTCCCATCTGGATGGAAACCAAAGTGGATGGCTTCTTGCTGCATTGCTGCATTGTGGGAAGGAGGTGGTTAGTGAAGGAAGAGGGGAGTGAGGCAGGGCAGGGTTGGGGCCTGGTGAGAAGGAAAAGAAAAGAACAGCAATTACCTTGCATACAGATCCTCTTAGTGTTGAGGATGTCCAGGTCCAGGTGTAAATTTTGGAGGGATTTTACCTCTGCTGCAGGTGCAAGCTTTCCCTGAAAACTTCAGAAATCCAGGAGCTGGCCAAGAAAATGGTCCAGCTGACATTAAGAATCAACCACAGTGGTTGGAGAATTTTCTCTGAATGTTGACCGCCCTGGCAGTATTGCTGCCTGCTCTGGAAAATGTGGGGACTTCTCCCACCTGCTCCCATGGTCAATAGGTCCCTCATCCCATGGATTCTAGGTCCCTTGTCCTCTTCTTCACCTCCTTTCAGGGTTACAGCAGCCTGCGCTTCCGGCCCATTAGGACGCTGAGCTCAGCAGTGGAGAACCTGAGACGGTGTAAGGTTATAGGAGTGATCGATAAGGTAATGACTCAACCTGGAACTGAGAGGGTAAGGTTGGGGCTGGACCAAGGGGAGTGTAACATGGAGGGTCCTGGCAGCTGGGATGGGGGTGCTGGTCCCCAGTGCACCCACCAAGGAACATGAGGTTCCATCCTCACCAGTCCCACCAAGAAAAATTTGCAGGTGAGGATGCAAGACCCTTTAGGGGTTAGTTGGGAAATCTGTTATTCCTTTTGCTTACACGATCTCCCAAGATATTTACACAGAATTTGGTGCATTGGTTCTTTCCCATGCATGGAATCGTACTGAATACCAAGGTACCATGATGGTGGACTCCTGCTGAAAAGTCTAGATTATCCATAGAAGACAAGCTATACAAATGAATCAACTATTGAGTAGTTCATGATCTTGGAGTGAAGATGGCTTACTGTGTCCATACACACACTGGCACGTTGCACTCCTCTGCTCTTCACACATCTCAGTTTATCAGGGCTGATGTGGTCCTCCTGTCCTGTCGACACAGAGCCCACAGAGCCCAGAAGAAGCACTGTGAAACCCTTTGTTGTGAAGGAAGTAAGAATGGAGTGGGAATCACCTCTTTCTTTAATTAACTCTCTACTCCCTGGCTCTGTGGCTGTCTCATTGCTAATAACCTAGGTTTTGTCCTTCAAGAGTAGGAGTCTGAGCACCACCAAACTCTTCTAGTTGGGTGGGAGTTTGTTGTTCCAGAGTTGAGTCCCTGGGTCATTCCTGCAGGCTGTGTGTTGGGGTGGGAGCAGTCACTGCCTCTGACTGGTACTGTATACTGCTTCCAGGTGCAGATCGTCCAGGATCCGGCCACTGGTGGAACCTTTATACTTAAGGTGGGTGTTTTCAGTTTTATCTGCCTGCTCTCCCTGTCGTGCCAGAACCTCCTTGTCCAAGCAAGTGGCTGGGGCAGGTGAGAGGACCAAAAAATAGCAGATCACAGAAATGTTAGGGGAAGCTCATTGTTCATAAAGCTTCTTCTGGCTGCCTCAGCCATCTTCTGTGTTCAGAAGGGAAATGGTTCTCCTTGGTCATCAATTCCTCTGCCTTGTAATGCTGCCAGCCAAACCTTATGCCCATGTTAATCTGGAGTCAACCCCTGAAACAGGTGGTGGGGGTGAGGTGTGGTCAGGACAAGTCCTAGGGCATTTTCCCGTGTCCTTGGAACTGAAAATAAAGGACTTTAATGACTGGACAAGGAGGCTCTGGCATAACAGGGAGAAGCATCAGTTGCAGAGGGGAGAGGAGAGAGGGTGGGGATGATGGGCTCCTGTCTGAAGGAAGTAGAGGCAGTTGTTGGGGAATACCACAGCTCTGGACCAGTCCTCTGGGTCCTGCAGTGCAGGTGGGGAGTGCTCTGCCTTGGCAGAGCTTTGCAGAGCCCTGCCTTGTCACAGCTGGGTGCTGGGGCTGACAGGGAGCTCCATTGCTGGTGACACAGCGGGGCAGCCATGGGGCTTAGCAGATGGCATGCTAACCTTTCTGGCTGGCCTCCTGCCCTGCCAGGTGCTAGGTTGCAGGGAGTCCAAGCCTCTACTGTGCTGTAATGTCCATCTATCTGTACCTCCTCAGAGCCTCCCCAAATCCTACACTGAGACCCGTGAGCGACAGACCATCATCCCTCATGGCGTCCCCTTCATGGTCAAGCTGCTGTGCTACTATGCAAATGAGGACTCCATCTTCCTCCACCTGGAGCACGTGCAGGGTGAGTAGGGACAGCATTGCCTCCCATCTCTGGAGCATACTGCTCTTATCCCCAGCCTCCCTTTCTTTAAAATCTCAAATATGTTTCTTCTGCCGGTTTGGGACTGTTTTTTATAGTGACAGCACCAGCTGTCTCCTTCATAGAAGGGTGATGGGTACTAGGGTTTGGAGACCTTGTGGAAGGAGCTACTCGGTTGTATTGGGGATTCTGGAGGTTTGGAAAGAGCTGACTTGGAAAGTCACCTAGAAATGGGCCTGTGGAGACCTACAAGGAGAAAGTGGTTTTGTGTGTATTGGTGTTATATGGAAACTAGCCTTAGGGACTGAATCCCATGGGAGGGAATGGTCGTGCCTTGAGGTGAAGAGGTTGCTGTGGTCCAGTGCTTGAAAAGGAAAACCTCTTCATTTTACTGGCATTGTTTGTCCATGACAGGAAAGTGATGGAGAAGGAGAACCGAGTGAGGTAGTTCACCTGAATGTTGTAGAACAAAACAAGCTTCAGATAAGACCTTTATAAAATATTTTTTATTTACAAAAGAAGAGGCCACACTGGATTTTGAGATTAGACCAAAGAGGAGATGGAGAATTAGGGCATAAAGGGCAGGGAACACACTGGGGTTCTGGTACAACAAGGAGGCAAGTCTGGGACTTGTCCCAGATCCTGGTGAAGTGTGACAAGGTGGAGGCTGTTGCCAAGGAGCTTCTTTGCTCTCTGCTGGTTGCATGAATGTGTAGGGAGCAGCAGCTGCAGTCCAGGAAGGGCAAATGAAGGCTGACGTGTGTTGGGAGAACAGCCTCAGCTCCTCATGCATTGCTGTAGGATGAACTGCAGAAAGCAGCCAGCAGCTGAATGTGGTGAGGTGGGGAAGCCCCTGTGGGCTCCAGGGCTCACTGCCCTGGCTCAGTGCTGGCCCATGGGCTCTGTGCCATGCTGTGGGAGCTCTCCAGCATCACCATCACGTGGGGAGAAAAGGCTGTCAGAGGAAAGTGGGGATGGCAGTGGGGTCAGGGGCATGTGTGAAGAAGTGGCTGGCCTGTGCCATGGAGACCGTGCAGAAGGGGAGCAGCGCTGCTGAAGGAAGGAGTGAGCCTTTGGTGTGCCAGGCCCCAGGGGAGGTGTGGCACTGAGCATGGTGTGCTTGTAGGGCTGGGGAGTATTCTGCATGACTTGAGCTTTGCTGGGGAGATTAACGATGCTCGGTCATGTCCCCAGCATGGGGGCCTTGGCCTGTGCCTGAATGGGCTGTGTCCACAGCAGGGGAACCAGGGATGCTCTCTGCCCCATCACTTGTTCTTCTCTCTGCTTTCCAGGGGAGATGCTGTGGTCTCACCTCCGCTCCAAGTACTGTCCCCAGCAGGGCTCTGCCAATTCAAACACCATTCAAGCCCTGAGGGACCATGGCAGAGAGGACGGCGTGGGAAGCTCCCAGGGCAGCAGCCAAGTCTCCATCCTCTCTGCTCAGTCAGGCAGTGGCCTCCTGGGCTCTGCGACCCACCAAGTATTGGGAACCACTGATGCCTTGCCCCCTCGGGAGCAGACCCCTGACCCCACGGACCCCTGCTCAGGGAACCACTGCCGGCTTCACCTGGCTCCCGCTGGTGGCACGAGGCCTGCAGCTGGAGGGCAGGATCTAAGCGTGACCCAGGCTACGTCTGCCATCGTGGACCATGTTCCAGCAGCATCAGCCAAAGGCCCCAGCCACCTTATCAACCAGGGCCTGGTCATCTACCCCTGGGATGCGCTAACCAGCAGCACGGGCTGCGTATCGGAGAGAGCAGCCTCCCAACAAGACGCTGGGCCACGTGCTGGTGAAAGGCTTGCCCAGACACCCGGCCCCATACTGAGGACTCTGAGAGAGGGCCAGCCAGGGGCGGGGGAGCCGCTGTCTCGGCGAGTGGCTGAGGTCCCCTGGGCTCGGCCGCTCCTGACCTCCTTGGGTCAGAGGCAGCTTCATGCAGCAGTTGCCCCGTCCAGCTCTGGCAAGTGCCATGGGCCTGACCCAGCGGTGCAGGAGCCCTCGTGGGGAGCGAGCCTGACCTGTGGCCAGCTCAGGGAGCAGCTGCTCTCAGGACAGTGCCCGTCTCTGGCTTCCCATGGGCATGACCGGAGAGCGTGGGCTGTGAAGGAGGAGCAGGTGCAGCTGTGGGCAGCAGAAATCCTCCTGGCCTTAGAGGGACTTCACCAACAGGGTGTATTGTGCCGGGACCTCAACCCCAGGAACCTGCTGCTTGATGCAGCTGGTAGGTATTGTCCCAGGCTGCTGCCCTGGGGAGGAGGAGGTTGGCCTCTCTGCTGGGAGACTGCTGTTTCCCCTATTTCCAGGAACATGGACTTTCTTGAGTTTGCTCTGGGGGAGGGTGGGAGTCTGGGGAGGTTTGGCTGTTTCTGAACCTGGAAGTATGGTCTCAGTTGGGATTTCCAAGCGGTTATTACAAGAGGTGGCTCTGCAGTGGGAGAGTCAGGGGTCGCAGCCACAGGAATGCATTGTCCCTGCTCCCACGTTGGGGCTGGCTGCCTGGGAAATCCCAGCACGGGGAAGCTGAGAGCAGCTGCACGGTGCCTGAGGTTAGTGGGATTGCAGCTTTTCCCTGCTTGTAGTTACTGCTCGCTGGGGTATTCTGGAGCCTGGCCATCCCTTCAAGCCATGGGTACCACTGTCGGGGCAAGCCCAGCATACGTCCCTGCTCCCCTGGCAACAGCTGGGGCAAACCGGAGAGCTACAAACTGCTTAGGAAGAGAAGAATGCAGAGAGCTTTGCAAGGGGAAGGCTGACCTTCCTCCCCTTGGCACTGCTGCTTTCCTCACTCCAGCCTGCCTCCCAGTCTGCAAGCTTGGAGCCCACCTAACCAGTCTCGCACAGGCCTGCTGGGCATCTGGGACAAGCGCTGGGAGGATGAGGACGCGCAGTGCCAGGGGATGCACAGTGGCCCTGTGTTCAGGGCTCAGTGGGGACCCAGTGCCCTGGCTGGTCCCAGTTGTGGGGATATAGCTTGGCTTTGTACTCCAGCCAAAGTCCCTAGCTTTGTCCTAACCTCCCTGCTTTTGGCTCTGGTGCTGCTCTGCAGGTCATGTCCGTCTCACCTTCTTTGGCCAGTGGACAGAGGTGGAGCCCCAGTGCTGCAGCCAGGCACGGGAAGAGCTGTACAGTGCCCCAGGTAAGGGACACATCCCCTGCCTTCTGCCCTTGGCGCAGTGCTGCCCAGCCGGGTGAGGGGGCTTCTGCAGGCAGCGAGATATGCCGGCACGGCACAGTCACTGGAACTCCTGCCTCCAGCTCTAATGCCTCTCTGGCTTTTTTCTGCAGAAGTGGGGGGGATTGTGGAGCCCACCGAAGCAGCTGACTGCTGGAGCTTTGGCTCTCTCTTGTATGAGTTGCTGACCGGAGTGGTAAGAGACAGAGGAGCTGTGGGGGAGGTGACACCATAGCACAAATGCTCCCTGCCATGCAGGGCTGGGGGGGTGCTTTGCCCTGCTGGCACCTCAGCACCATCCCAGGTTACTTCAGCCGTGTGATTCTTAGTGCCTGTGCATGGTCACTGGCTGTTCAGGGCCCTGGGTTTTAAAACCTGCTGTGTAGAGCTGGGGTTGTGTGGTGCTGAAGGCTCAGAAGGGTGCTCCTGCCTTCCTCAGTGCCTCTGCTCACCATCACCCTCTGCCTCCTGCAGCCACTGTCCCAAAACCACCCTTCAGGGATTCAACCTCACACCCAGTTGCATCTGCCAGAGGGCCTCAGCCTGGCTGCTATGTCACTGCTCACCGAGGTGAGGGGCTTGGGCAGATGGGAGGGAGAATGGGGCTAGAAGGTCCAGCCTGGGTAACTTTTCCAGTGTCCCCATCTCCCCATCCTGCTGTCCCATCCCTTCTCTGCAGCTCCTTCAGTACAACCCGAAGCAGCGTTTGGGCTCTGGAGGAGGTGGCATGGCGAAGCTGAAGTCCCACTCCTTCTTCAGCACCATCCCATGGAACAAGTTGGTGGGCTAGGCCAGCTGTCCTTCCCGTGGGGAGCTGGGCACAGAGAGACTGTCCCTACTGCTGTGACCCCGGGTGGCACTGGCAGCTCTGGAGGCTTGGCCTGCAGGGGCAGCCCCAGGGTGGGGTATGCATGATGTTTTACAGCCTTGTATGTTCTTCTGTCTCTGCTTGTATTTGTTGGCAGCTCTGAGAGGAGGCTGTGGTCTGGGCCAGGCTGTCTTCTCCTCTAGGTCCTCCCTGGTGGGAAAGGGAGCTCAGGTGCCCATGCCTGGGGAGCACTGGCAGCTCTGGAGGCTTGGCCTGCAGGGGCAGCCCCAGGGTGGGGTATGCATGATGTTTTACAGCCTTGTATGTTCTTCTGTCTCTGCTTGTATTTGTTGGCAGCTCTGAGAGGAGGCTGTGGTCTGGGCCAGGCTGTCTTCTCCTCTAGGTCCTCCCTGGTGGGAAAGGGAGCTCAGGTGCCCATGCCTGGGGAGAAGCCATGCTCCCCTTCTGGGCCATCCCTTGCTCAGCTTAGCACCATGCCCTAGGACTCCCTCCCTATGGTTTTTATCTCTGCTGCTACTGCCATGACCCTGTTCCCTGTTATTTTTTTGTGGCTTCCAAGTGCATCTCCTCTGGGCCCC